TTCTCAGGGGAGGTGTGAGTCCTGCCAGTTCCCCCTTCCCCATATGGGTGAAACGCCAGCTCCTTCCAGGTGGGCTACTCCCAGCTCTTCCACTTTGCTGGATCACCTCCAGGGCCTGGATAGGGTGGCTACGAGCCCAGGAGGTTATCTCTTCCAAGCCCCCTACGCCCCCTTCCGTCCTCCCATTCCTTGGCCTCGACCCTGGTGAGCTGGACATGCATGTCCTGTCCCACTCACACAGCCAGCTGCTATAACTATCTCAGGTGTTTTGGGGAGACTCCAGCTTGAACATGACCACATCATCTTTTTTTTTTTTTTTTAAGTTTGAGAGAACGACAAAGGGTTCCCATCCTCCACTTTACATCTCCAATGCCCGGCACGCTGGGGCTGGGCCAGGCAGAAGCCGGGAGCTGGGAACTCAATCTGGGTCAGCCACCCAGTGTGTTGGCAGGAAGCTGGAGTTGAAAGCCGCAGGAGGGAGTGAACCTGAATCCCCCTGTGATGCCCAGACACCTTACCCCCTCCCCTGTCCAACTCAGTCACTGCCCCCTCTGCCGTCCCTCCTCTCGAGACACCTCCCTCCCCGGCTGTCAGCACCTATCAGCTTTGCCTTCCTCCTTCTCCTGGTTCTCCATCTCCCAGTGCTGAGGGCAGGGTCCCTGAAAGCTCAGGCAGCGAGACTGTGAGCACACATGACTCCCTGCCTCATGCATGCCCCCCTGACATGTGTCAACCCAGGCAGCACAGCGCCAGCACTGACCATGTCAGTGTGGTGCAAGCAGAGGGATTGAACCCCTCATGGAAGAAATGGTAAGTTACACACCAAACCCGGCATGCACATGCAGGAGCCATGGGGAAAGGCGAGGGTGGGCACAGGCAGGAGTGCTGGGGTTGGCTGCTGTTACCTAGTGGTGACGAGGTCAACACCAAGGTCAAGTAGGACTCAACATATTTTCAGGCAGACATACACCCAGTGCTGGGAATAAAAATCCAAGTACTCTGGATTTTTCAAATGGTTTTGATTGCAAACTCCAGGTGCTTTCAGGGCAGCCGGGCAGCCCTGGCTTTCTTAAAATCTGAACCACAGGAATACATTTTCTCCTTTGAAAGGAAGAGCTAAAACAGGAAAGAACTGCAGTTGCCTCTTGGGGAGTACCCTCATCTCCATGCGAGCCCCTCCCTGCTTCCTGAGCGGCCGTGGATGGCAGCCCTGTGGTACCCCAGGCACGTCCTCACCTTGAGGGTGGCCTGGGCATGCTAGCCCCGCACTAGGGTGCAGGGAGGTGGGCAAGGCTGATGGCGACCCTGTGAGATGGGCATCCCAGGATGGTGTGTACATTTGGAGCTGGACAGTCAGGCCATGGGCCAGGAGCCACCTGTTCCCTGGGCCTCCCTCACACTTGAGCGCCCTTGACAATGGCTGCCTCATGCACTGGCCTCATTCTGGACATGAAGGGCGGGCTGGACAAGTGAGAACTAAAGAAGACTCGAGATATCCCAGCTTAAAGCTCGGTGTGGCATGCGGCAGGACATGCAGTCAGCTAGAGAGAGGGCACTGTCCTTCAGATACACCAAGTGCCTCCACAGCACTGTTCTTTATACCCAAGCTGCCAGCTGAGTTCCCCTCATCCCAGTGGCCACCATGGAGACTGCAGCAGGAAACGGAGCCTTGCAGCTCTCTGTTGCTGGAGCCCCAGCCTGATCCTCACCAGTTACTCTTTCATAAAGATTTATTTATTGTTATTAGAAAGGCAGATTTACCAAGAGAAAGAGACAGAAAGATATTCTATCTGCTGATTCACTCCCCAAGTCGCTGCAATGGCTGGAGCTGAGCTCCAAGAGCCAGGAGCTTCTTCCAGGATTCCCACATGGGTGCAGAGTCCCAAAGCTTTGGACTTTTCCTCAATCGCTTTCCCAGGTTACAAGCAGGGAGCTGGTTGGAAAGCGGAGTAGCTGGGAAACAAACCAATGCCCATATGGGATCCTGTTGCACTTGCAAAATGAGGATTTAGCCACTAAGCCATTGCGCTAAGCCCTCTTACCAGGTACTTAGGAACTGCACAGTGGAAGAATTAGAGTTTAGTTAGTGCCAGTGAAGGCTGAAAACCCAGCATTTGCCACCTCAGGGAGTTCTCAGTGGGGGTCATCCAGGGCCAAGGACTCCCCAGTACATTCAAGCCCAGCTCCTGCCTCTCCAGTGGGCAGCTGACATACATCAGCAGCAAGCTCCATGCCCGTCCTCAGGAAGGTCAAGGACTTCCAGTTTAGCTTTTGATCTTTGTTTTTCCACACAGGTGCCTGGGCAGGCACGGTGCTGCAGCAGAAGCTGCCACTAGCGATGCTGCATCCCCCACTAAGTGTCTGCACCCTGAGTCTCCTCCGTCAGGTGCTTAAGTGTTTGATTTCCTGCCACTCACATGGGAAACCTGGATGGAGTTCCCGGCTTCTGGTTTAGGCTTGTCCTAGCTCTGGCTATAGTGGGCATCTGGGGAGTGAATTCTGTTGTCTCTGCCTTTCAAACAGATGAATAAGTAAAATCTAAACATTAAAAAAGATGTTCATAGGCCCGGCACGATAGCATAATGATTAAAGTCCTCGCCGTACACACGCCGGGATCCCATATGGGCACCAGTTCTAATCCCAGCCCCTGCTTCTCATCCAGCTCCCTGCCTGTGGGCCTGGGAAAGCAGCAGAGGATGGCCCAAAACTTTAGGACCTTGCACCTGCATGAGAGACCTGGAAGAAGCTCCTGGCTCCTGGCTTTGGATTGGCTCAGCTCTGACTATTGCGGATACTTGGGGAGTAAAGCAGTGGATGGAAGATCTTCCTTTCTGTCTATCTTTCTCTCTGTGAAATGTGACTTTCTGGTAAAAATAAATAAATCTTTAAAAAGAAAAGATTAGCTGAGGCCTCACTTGTAACCATAATGCAGGTCAGTTTTAAAAAAAAAATGTTCATGGCTTTGTTGGATGCAGGAAAGCAGCTAATTGAGTAATTATCAATGCTTATCCAAAGGGCTTGAATCTTCTAAAAGTAGGCAGAAGTTTGATGCCATATGAAGAGGCAGCATGAGAGGGGCTTGGTGTGGTAGCATAGTGGCTAAAGTTCTCACCTTGCACACTCCAGGATCCCATAAGGGCAATGGTTCTAATCCCGGCAGCCCCACTTCCCATCCAGCTCCCTGCTTGAGGCCTGGGAAAGCAGTTGAGGATGACCCAAAGCCTTGGGGGCCCTATGCCCACGGGGGAGACCCAGAAGCTGCTCTGGGCTCCTGGTTTCAAACTGGTGCAGTTCTGGACATTGTGGCCACTTGTGGAGTGAATCAACAGATGCAAGATCTTCCTCCCTATCCCTCTTTCTCTCTGTATATCTGACTTTCCAATAAAAATAACATAAATCTTTTTTTAAAAAAAAAGGCAGCATGAGAGACGCTGTCCAGGTGCTTGGGGGAAGCCCAGCTCACGCAGTGGTCCTGTGCCTGGCATGAATCCACACACGCACACGGGAACTGGGCCACGTCTGGCTCCATCTTGTGGCCCGCCTTGCCACCCAGTCAGGGCTTCTGCTTCACCATCAGGGGAGAACAGGGCAGGGGAGGGCACGCTTGGGACATGAGGACCCCCAGCTCAGACACGGCATGATGCAGCCACTGGCGGCCTTACAACACTGCTGTTGTCCCCACAGCTGATGAGCCATTACCTAAAACCCTCTCTGAGACTGTTTCCTTTCTATGAAAAAGATGACAAAATTGGGAGGAGTCACTTCAGACGATGGGTAGGACCCCGTGGACTCTGTCAGGCAGACTGCCTCCTTGGTGCCACCTGAATGCAGGGTGTGGCCTTTCTGGGTCTATTTTCCTACCTCACCACGGGAACGGGGATGCTGTAGGAGAGGAGAGCCGAGGATCCTGCATAGGCCCTCACAGCAGGTGTACAGTAAGCGCCATCTCCTTCCTTCACTCCTGATCCCTGCCACTGAGTGCGGGACATCTGTGATGTGCTGAAATACAGACCAGACAAGGCAAAGCAGAGCCCTCACAGATGATGCTACAAGAGGCTCACCTGCAGTGTCCTCTGGCCACACCACATGCACACCTGCTTAACCACAGCCATCCCTGAGGCTGCCCAGAGGTCTGGCTCCCTTGCCACATGAGGCCCACTGTGATGGACTGCCATCTCTGAGACTGGCCCAGAGGAACTGACAGGGTGAGGAGGAGAGGCAGCAAGAGGCATGAAACATAGGAAGTACAAAAATGCTAAGCTCTGGGCCTGGTGGCATGGCCTAGTGGCCAAAGTCCTCGCCTTGAACATGCCAGGATCCCATATGGGCACCAGTTCTAATCCCGGCTGCTCCACTTCCCATCCAGTTCCCTGCTTGTGGCCTGGGAAAGCAGTCGAGGACGTCCCTGCACCTGTGTGGGAGACCCAGAGGAAGTTCCTGGCTCCTGGCTTTGAATCAGTGCAGCACTGGCCATTGCGGTCACTTGGGGAGTGAATCACCGGATGGAAGATCTTCCTCTCTCTCTCTTCTCCTCTATGCATATCTGACTTTGCACTAAAAATAAATTTTAAAAAATGCAAGTGCTGTGGTCCTGCCACAATCCTGCAGCTGTCACCTCAAATCCACTCTGTGGCAGTGTGAGGAGGAGAGCCAGCGAGATGGCCTGCTCCCTGGGCGGTGGGCTCGGGCGCTCCCCAGGGGACACATCACAGGGAAGGTGTGTATCAAGGCAGCACAGCACCATGGCCAGGCCTGGCTGCGATGGGGCAGAGGCAGGGGCAGGAGGCCTGATTCCCAGGAGCAGGGCAGCTCTTAATCAGCCACCAAAGTCAGCACTGGGATAACAGGGTGAGGAGCAGGGCACGGTGAGTGCTGAGCCAAGACTTCCCCTGGCCCTGCCCTGGGGTGACCTCTGCTCAGACCCCACACCGTGGATGCTGGAAGCCCGAGAGTTTCCTAGGGAGGGAACTCAGCAGTCACAACACAGCAAATGGACTTTCTGCTCTCGCGAGGAGAGTATATTTTAAACTTGCAAAGAGCCACAGTTTGGGATGTTCCACAGGTTGTCGCTGGGCCTTCTGCAGACTCGGGGTCTCTGCTCGTCACCAGGGACCTCTTGGCGCATCTAGAGGGGTGCTCTCCCCACCCACACAGGGGTGGTGGGCATACTCCAGGCTTCCAGTCTGCACTGTGTCCTGCACCTCAATACCTGTGACAACAGAAGCAGGACAGTGAAGTGGGGCCAAATGTCCTGTAGGACGTGTCAACCAAAGAGCCCAGCACTGCAGAAAGGCTCAGGTGCAATACATATGCCAAGCTAGCAAGGGGGCGGCCCTTACCTGCCACTCATATACCCCCAGATGGGACGGGCCAGCCCTTCTCCTTCTCTGTGGCACCTCACCCCCTGCCCTGTGAGCCTGTGTGCTAAGACTGAAGTCTCTAGGAAGGGACCGTGCTTGGTCCCACGGTGAGGTTTAGGGAAGCAGATGACCTGCTCAATGTAGTCCCCAGGCTATGGAGCAGCTGTATGGGGGCGGTAAAGGTGCAAGTAGTGTGTGCCTAACCCCACCTGGAGGGCAGGGCCCCTGCCATCTACAGAAGCCCCATGTCCTAGATGGGCACGCTGCAGCCGAGGGTAGAGCAGTGCAGCCGACTCTGTGGGAATCCCTTTTGTGCTGTACACCACCCAGGCAGGCTCGAGGGCCTGTGATCTGACACTCCTAAGGCTTGAACGAGTTCTGTTTCTGGACTTGTTGGGCTTGGCCCGTTTCAAGGACTCCAGGTCACCCACTCCTTCACCCTCAGACAAACTGGGACAGGTTGGGGACTTTGATGTTGAGGTCGCCGAGGTTGATGTTGCGCGGGATCTCGGGCAGGTTGATGTTCTTCACGGCAGACACGGCCCGTGCTGGCGCTGCTGAGAGGCCTCCCTGGGGACAAACAGACACGTCTCAGGGTCGGCTGCCTAGAGTGCTTTAACAACAAGCCTAGGAACTCCCACCGAGCCCGCCTCATGTCAGTGCAGGGCAGCCACCACAGCAGACCAAAGCCTGGGCTCCTACGAGTGCAGGCTCCTTGGAGGTGGACTGCACCTCCGCAGTTGGATGGTTGCAGCCCCCACAGTGCCTGGTGCACAGTGGGTGCTGAGGACATGTGTGCCCAAGTTCTTGGAGATGGTCTGTCCACATCAGGTAAAGCATTGTGGCTCCTTTCCAATTTTGAAACAAACAAAACCCTAAAGGGGCTGAAGAGTGGGCAAGGCTGACGTCACAGGGAAGCTCTTCAAGGGAGAGAACCTGTCACAGCACCCTTGCCAGCTGACGGCAAAGTGGGACAGCGGGCTGTGGACATGCCGTGAGGCCATGAGTAGCTGTGACGGACACGGAGGGACCGGGACTAATAAAACAAAGGGAGGACCATGCACGGCCAGCCCCAACCTCACTCCAGTGTGCAGAGGAAGGGAGAGGCTGACAGAGACCATCAGACTCACTCCCTCATCTCAGGGCACTGATTCTAAACCCACCCTCACCCAGCAAGTCTCCACTTTCACTTCTCGACCCCCTGGCTGCTGCCTTACTCACCATGCATGCACTTCCTAAGCACTCCCTGGCACAGGAACTGTGTGCTAAAAAGGCACCCTCGGCAGGGCAGCTGGGGTGCATGCAGGGAGAGCTGACGGGGCTTGGGAACACAACGGATGCATGATGTGGCCGGCCAAGTGAGAAGGAGAGTGCCTGGAATCAGGGCTCCCAGCAAGTCTGCAGAGCGGGAGGACAGCCTTCCCATGAGCTCCATGCTAAGGTGGACCGGGATGTGTTGCTTGTGAACCCAGACCACACTCAGCCGTGGCTTTTCATAAGGATAGCTGGGAGAAAGGGTGCTGGCAACTGTGCAGTGTGGCAGACACAAGAAATGACTGCTGGTGGGCAGGCTCAGAAGGCACACCAACCAGGCAATCTGGAGCAGGGGCTGCTGGGTCCCTCCAGGGAAATGTAGAGCTTGGGAGGGCCGCATGCCTTCCTTAGCCATCTGCCTCTTCTGCTCACCCTTCTTGCCCCAAGCCTGAGCCCTGACACCTCCTTACCTGCTGAACTTGCAGGGCTTAGCTTCACATCAACAGACTCCAGGACACTTCCCAATCGTCCCCACCACCAGCACATGTGCATGGCCCCCTCTAGGCCTGGCTGTGGACTCACCTCGGATTTCTCCAGCCGGTTCTGGGCTTCAATCTGAGCGACGATCTCGTTCATGTTTGTCTCCAGCACCATGCCCCCCATGACCACCTCCTGCAGGATGTAGTGCACCTGGAGGAGAAGCACAGACAGGCAGGCTCAGAGCAGGCGGAGGAGCTCAGGCTGTAGCTGATCAGACAGTACCAGGGCCTCATCACCACTCTGACACCTCTGATGTTTCCATATCCACCGGTGAGACCACAGGGTCCTCCCACGTCAGGCACCCTGCAGCTCGTCTCTCCTTCCAGCAGTGGCAGAGGGGTGGCTGAGGGCACAGGCGATGAGAGCACACAGAGCCTGTGTACATTCTGGCAAAGCCCCTTCTCAGTGTTCCAGCTGCCTTGTAGGAGCAGGACCGCGGTGACAGCTGCGTGACACACCCTGCACGGTCCACACGGTCCTGACCAAGCAGGGACAGTTTTCACTACTAGTATTACCATCAGCACCAACTGAATTAGTAATGTCTAGCCACAACCAAAAAACCCCAGGTCTCCACCATGAGAGGCCCGAGGCTCCCTCCACCAAACACGGCTCTGCACACTGCCAAATGTCATGGGTCGTGAGCCAAGTGCCAGCTTACTTGCTGGTGGAGGACTGAGCAGAAAGATGCAAAAAAAAAGATTTACTTGAAAGAGTTACAGAGAAAGAGAAGAGAGCAAGCGAAAGAGAGATAAAAAGATAAGGGAATGGAGGAGAGAGGGAGATGAGAGAGCTCTTTCATCTGCTGGTTCACTCCTCAAATGATGGCAGCAACAGTTACTGGGCCAGGCTGAAGCCAGGAGCTTCTTCCAGGTCTCCACATGGGTGCAGAGTCCCAAGCACTTGATTTCTCAGGGACATTAGCAAAGAGCTGGATTGAAAGTGAAGTACCTGGGCCCAGTGTGGTAGCCAAGCAGCTAAAGTCCTTGCCTTGAACGTGCCAGGATCCCATTCGGGCTCAGGTTCTAATGCCAGCAGCTCCACTTGCCATCCAGCTCCCTGCTTGTGGCCTGGGAAAGCAGTTGAGGACGGCCTAAAGCCTTGGGACCCTGCACCCATGTGGGATACCAGGAAGAAGTTTCCGGATCCTGGCTTTGGATCAGCGCATCTTTGGCCGTTGCAGTCACTTGGGGAGTTAATCATCAGACAAGAAGATCTTCCTTTCTGTCTCTTCTCCTGTCTGTATATATGACTTTTCAATAAAAATAAATAAATCTTGAAAAAAAAAGTGTAGTACCTGAGATGTGAACTGGTGTCCCTATGGGAATCTGGTGAGGCAGGTAGCAGTTTAACCCACTGTGCCACAATGCTGGCCCCAGCTCCGTGCACTTCTGACACATCATCTTCTCTGGCACATCTGTTCACATTTTGCCTTCAGTTTGGGGAGGGAATATACTAACATGTAACTGGGGATATCTGTTCTAGTCTTAGGGGGGGAGCACACTAAAGAAGATACATTGCTTGGGTTATCTTAAAGGCAGAATTACACAAGGAGTTAAGGTGCTTGGGCCCCTACACCCATGCAGGAGACCTGGATAAAGCTTTGGCTCCTGGCTTCAGCCCAGCTCAGCACTGGCTGTTGCAGCTGTGTGGAGACTAAACAAGCAAATGGAAGATCCCTGTGTTTCTCCCTCTTCCTCTGAAATTCTTACAAAATAAATAACTCAGTCTTCTAAAAAAGGATAAATGAAAATGAATATTATGAAAAATTATGAACCTGGTGCAGTAGCCTAGTGGCTAAAGTCCTCGTCTTGCACACATACGGGCGCTGATTCATGTCCCGGCTGCTCCACTTCCCTTCCAGCTCCCTGCTTGTGGCCTGGGAAAGCAGTAGATGGAAAAGCCTTGGGATCCTGCACCCATGTGGGAGACCCAGAAGAGGCTCCTGGCTCCTGGCTCCAGATTAACTCATCTCCGGCCATTGCAGCCACTTGAGGAGTAAACAGGAGTGAACCAGTGGACGGACGCAAGATCTTTTTCTCTGCCTCTCCTTTTCGTTCTGTATGCCTGCCTTTCCAATAAAAGTAATTACATATTTTTAAAAATTATGCATAGATTTCAAATTTTTGCACTAAAGTAGCTTTATTTTCTTTTAAAATTTATTTAAAATGGAGTAGTGAGTGGTACAGGACAAGCCCTCAGCTGGTAGTTCACTCCCCATACAAGTGACAGCAGAGTTGGTCCAGACCAAAGCCAGGAGGCACGAACTCAATCTGAGTCTCCCACTACAATATTTGAGCCATCACCTGCTGCCCCGGTTGCACACTGGCAGGAAGCTAGGACCGGGAGCAGAGCCAGAACTCTATAATCTACCACTCTGATCTAGGACAGGTGTGTCACAAACAGTGTTTTAACCATCATGCCAAATGCCTGCCCCTAATCTTCTAACTCTAGTTTTCCACAAACTTTATGAAACGTTCTTGTCTTATACTGTCAAGTTCAAAGCAGTGATATTCACAACAGAGGGAAGCGACCCAAATGTTCATCAGCAGATGACTGGAAAAACAGAGGGAGTTCTGGACATCCAAGAGAATCCCATCAAGCTTGCAATGTGTCAGAACCTACTGGCCAAGGCTGTGACAGGGATGTGCCTGGAGGAGACCACGCCCCGTGTACGAGCCAGACTCAAAGGATGAGCTTGGGCCCGAGACCTGGGATGGTCAAATTCTCAAGGACCAAAGGAGAATGGCAGAGCTGGGAGCAAGCGGGCAAACAGATTCCTGGCTCAGAGCTTTGCTCTGCAGCATGGAGAGTTCTGGAGATGCACAACTGTGTAAGGGCACATAAAGAAAGCCACCATCCTGAAAAAATCAAATGGCAAAGATTCTTGTGGAAAGAAATGAAAATAGCCTCTGTAGTACTATTTCTATTCCTTTTTTAAAAAGTTTATTGGAAAGCAAGATTTACAGAGGAAGGAGACACAGAGAGAAAAATCTTCGGTCTGCTGGTTCTCTCCCCAAATGGCCTCAATGGCTAGAGCTGAGCTGATCTGAAGCCAGGAACCAAGAGCTTCTTTTGGGTCTGCCGCGTGGGTGCAGGGTCCCAAGGCTTTTGCCCATCCTCTACCATTTTCCCAAGCCGCAAGCAGGGAGTTGTAAATGGGACAAGCAGGGAGTTGTAAATGGGACATCCAAGACATGAACACGAGCCCATATGGGAGCCTCAGCGTGCAAGGTAGCTACTAGGCTACCACACTAGGTCCCTCCTAATCCTTTAGCTAATCAATCCTTTCTGAGTGGGAAGCAGTATCTGTTGGGCATCTGCCATGTGCTAAGTGCCTTTTGTAATGTACTTTAAGTCTGTCATGTTCGCCTGAGGTAGGTCATCTTCATTTCTATCTGAGAAGTGAATGAAAGGACAGCACCGCGAAGCATGGTGGTAGCAGAACTGGGTGGTGAATCTCGGATCGGCCTGACCGTTCGGCCCTCGCTCCCTATGGAGGCAGGCACTTCCTGGGGCCGTGCTGGGGCTCACTGAGTCACCACACCAACACGTTCTGCACGTCACACAGAGTCGTTTTGGGCAGCTGAGGAGTTAGTGTCTGCACAGTGGAAATGTTTACAAATGCTCAGTCCCTCTCCCCACCGCTGCGTGGAGACTGGGTCAGTGAACTCACCCAGAGTTCAAAGTCAGCCTGGGGCACTGTCTTAGCACCTCCCCCTGCACCCTGCAAATAGCATCCTACAAACAGCCTGCTTCTGAAAAAAGGCTTCTATTTAGAGATAAGCACAAAAGAGAAATCTGCACAGAATCTATATAAAGATTCAAGAAAAAAACCTTAAGGAACAGGAAAACAAGATGACAGTCTAAGACCACATACTGGGAAACACTATTACAGAGCAGCTAAAATATTATGTAAAACTAAAAAAGAAAACTCATCTTTATGAAGGGCTCAGAGAAGGAAAAGGAGAGCTTAGAGTGGAGGTGGGAGATAAGAGAGAAGGTGGATCCAGCAGAGCACAGGAAAAAGTGAAGGGAAAGGACCCAGCACAGTAGCCTAGTGGCTAAAGTCCTTGCTTTGCATGTGCCAAGTTCTAATCTCGGTGGTCCCATTTCCCATCCAGCTCCCTGCTATGGCCTGGGAAAGCAGTCAAGGACAGCCCAAAGCCTTGAGACTGTGCACCCATGTGGGAGACCCAGAAAAGCATCTGGGCTCCTGGCTTCAGATCAGCGCAGCACTGGCAGTTGTAGTCACTTGGGCGAGTGAACCACTGGATGGAAGATCTTCTTCTCTGTTTCTCTTCCTCTCTGTATATCTGACTTTCCCATAAAAATAAATAAATCTTAAATTAAAAAAAATAGCGCAGCATGAGGGAAAAACAGTCCCAGAAATGAAGGAAAGACTGAAGGCACAAAAGGGAGAAGAGACACTGCCAAGTCAAGGCAAGGGACAGTGACAAACAAAAAGCCAGCACCAGGTCAAAGTGCCACTTGCGACACAGATACCACATACCGGAGCACCGGCTCAAGTCCTGCCGCCCAGCTTCCGCTCCAGCTCCCTGCCAGTGCTCCTGAGCAGGTGTACCCTGCAGAGACTGGTCCAAGTGCTACCTTCTGGTCCCTGCCAGCACCAGGCGAGACCCGGAGGGAGCTCCCGGCTCCTGGACATGAACTGGCCCGGATCTGGCTGTTGCAGCCGCGTGGGGAGTGAATCAACAGGTGCAGGGCTCCCGCTCTCTTGCTGCTGTACTTCTCAAATAAAAAACGTCGACAGAATGAGAGGAAACAGAAGAGATAGCAAAGGAGGAACATAAGAAAATCATGATGCAAATGGATGAAACATTAGAAATTTCTCCTTGCAGGTGACAGCAAGTCAGAACTCAGCATATTTCAGAACTCCAAGAGGCCTGGGATCCAGATCCATGCCCTGAAAGAACATACTGCACGCCTGGCAACACAGCCAGCCAATGCACAACATGCATGTTTTGTCATTTGTTTTTAACTTTTTTTTTTAAGATTTATTTTTATCGAGAGGCAGATTTACAGACAGAGAGATGGACAGATAGATCTTCCACCTGCTGGTTCACTTTGGAAGCGCCTTCTGACCAAGGCTGGAGGAGACCCTGTTAAGTGAAATCAACTAGACACAGAGGAAGAGCTGCAACAACCAGAGCTGAGCTGATCCCAAGCTGGTGGCTTCCCTGGGTCTCCCACCATGGGTGCAGGGGCCCAAGGACCTGAGCCATCCTCCACTGCTTTCCTAGGACATAGGCCTCATTCTGATATTTAAATATTTACTGTTGTTTTTTTTTTTTTGGTAAAACAGAGTTACAACGGAGAGGACACACACCCACCCATTCACTCACATACACAGAAAACATCTCCTACTCACTGGCTGAGTCCCCAAATGGCCAAAATGGCTAGAGCTGGCTGGGTCAATTGGAAGTTAGGAGCCAGGAGCTTCTTCTGGGGTTGCCAGGT